TTAATGAAAGCAAAAAAAAAAGAGAAAAAAAGCAGGAGGTAGCAACAATAAAATGCAGCACGCCAGAAACGTGGTCGCGCAAGGTACTACAGAATTAGTCCTTCGGGGACTCTAGATCGATACATCCGTATAAATAAACGCGCGTGCAAGCTGAATATGCAATTTCCATTTAGGAAAGCAGCTCGAGGCACGCCTGGAAAGGTTCACGGTTTATCGACGCGGCGAGAAAATGGCGGCCGAGTGCGTTGCGGGACCCCGTTCGAAGGAAGGCCGAAACACGTGTTGGTGGTTTTATTGTTTTCTTCTTCATGATTTTTTTTTTCATCTTGCATCATCTCGTATTGTATTAAACACCCCTAGCTTTATTTAACAAGGTGATACAGGGTAGCTAATGTCTGTTAAGCACACAAGCTCTGCGACATCGTTTATAGAGACCAATATACAGTTTGAGAACTAATTACCTACGTAAAATCCTGTGTATACTCTCGTTTCGAATCTTGATTATGAAACCCACCGTCTGAATTTCTCGCGCCGCGATGAGTGCGGGCGGTTCGCCTCATTCACCGTTTTCCTTTATCCGTCATCCCCCGTCGGGATTTCGACGTGGCGAATAAAAAGAAAAACCGAACATGTTCCTTATTGTCTCGACGAAAGAAATCAACGAAATGGGGCGAGACTACGGATCGGCAAATAGAATGAAGAACGCAATGGAAAGTGGATATATTGTTATTAATTACGTGGACGTGGATCGCGATCGCGGCTCACCCTGCGTGCGACCCGCCATCTTGTTTCGGTCCGCGAGAACTCGAAGTTAGAATTGCTTTTTGTTATCGCGAATCTAGTATTTACTCGTCGATGATCCGCCATCGCGAATCACGTCCGATCGGTATACGACGCAACACACGATCGTGAATCGTTCGCTAGATGCGAACTGTTTTTCACATCTTTTTATATTTCCTCGCTACGAACTAGAAATTGAGCACACAAACATCGATCTGTTAGCGTTCACGCAGCCGGACCTCGTTCAACGCGAACGGACGATCGTTTGATCTTAATTCTTTCCTCCCCCTTTTATTTTTAGTCTTATCTTCTCTTCTCGTTCACCTGCGCGAACGACCCGTCGCGCATCGGCAATTCGGCTCGACTCGTCTTGTTCGAACCGAACGTTCACGTGAGAGCTTCGTCGGTTTCGTTCTAGTTTTATTTATTATCATCATGTTTTTTTCTCTCAGAAAATGTTTTCCCCTCGACTCTCTTTTCCTCTTCATTGTTCTCGCCGATCAAGAAGAAAAGACGCTCGATACACGCGCGGGGTGAATGCAATAACGATTCACCTCTTTCTTTTTTGTGTGCCTGTGTCCTATTTTGTGTTCGTGTGGTACGTGTGCCGGTAAAGTAATAATACGTATCTAAAACGTTCTCGTTTACGCTAATTTATCTGAACTCGTATCGTTTTCATGTTATTTTTTTTCCGTTTCTTTATACTTTCTTCTCGCTATTATCCCCGGTACATGTATACATACGTATAATCGACCGTGTCTCTCTCCTCGTGAATGATTACGGGTTTTCCATGTCTGTTTGTATATAATTATTATATCGTTACAATAAAATGACCACTATTGTAAATTCATTGATTACCTCGTACAATCGAATATAATATATTTATATTCACCGACGACATCCGATGAAGCCCTACCTCGTCGAGGTACGATAAGCTCTCTGATTAATATTCTTACTCCCATTCTCACACTCTCTCGCTCTAGTACTCGCATTCTCACGATCAAGTTTTATTTATCTCGCTCTGACCATCTAACGGAGGAAGTCTGTCGTCGTTTCTCGCTTTAGAGCACGTTACATAATTACGACACGGTGCATCTTTAAACACGCAATTTTCATTTCTTCTCTTCTGTTCTTTTCTACTGTTCTCGTCTATCTCGCTCGCCTTTTTCTCTCTCTATGCACCCGTGTCAAGACATGATCGAAAAAAAATGGAAAATAACGTACATAATCCTTTCTCTCACGCTATCTTTCGTTCCTTGTCATTCGGCAACAGTCGCTCGTCGATACACGCGCAACCCTACATTTTGTTTTCGTTCCGATTGAACTCGTTCGATCGTTCACTCGTCGCATAATTGTACCTCTATTATACCGAATTCAAGTGGTCAGCTATAACTACTAGAAAAAATTACATCGGAATCCACTAACGCTAGTAAGAAAAATTGTTCTGCATCAAACATTAATCAATTAATAATTCATCGCAATTATTACATTACATGAATTTATATATATATATATTTTGTATTGTGTTGCATACACTATATATATGTATATAAAAGACTGTCCTGCGACGGTGCACAAGCAGTCTTCGCCCTCCGAGTCGCCATCTTGCTACCGCGGGCCGAATTTTGTTTTAAGGCGGTATCGTAAGATACTATACAGATTAAAAAATAAAATAGAAAAAAGTTCTCGCAAATAATAATGATAAAAAAAAGGATATTCGAAGAAGAAAATTTTAAGTCGAACTTGATCGTTCACTTAAAAAGACGCGGCTGACGAGTCACTCGGAGGACGCATGGCGCTAGTGTCAAGGGCCCGAAGACTTAGCGTCGGATCTCGACGATCTTCGTTCACAGGGTTCGGATACATTAACTTTAGAAACTGTGTCTACTCACCTTAAGGATGGGCGAAGGTCATTTGAACGTGGATCCGGAATTTCTTCCGTATTGAAATTTGTCATTTTCTTTTATCTATAAATATCACGGCACCCGCTGTATTACAAAAAAGAATTGTTTTAAAAGGAGTCATTTCTACTGATCTTTAAAGGTTCTTCGGATACTATGTATTCTAAAATACAACTTACTGCTAAATCACGTCAAGTAATGCCATGCGAATATTTTACTACGAATGGCTTCTCTTTGAGTTATGGATATTTGAACTACTGCTATTATCATTTTTACTTAGCTTGAAACAGTGAGAATCGATAAAGACCGTTTGATCGGATAAACGAAGTATAGTTCTCTATGTAAATGCTGCTTTTTAAGTATAAAATGCAAACGCTTGTAAGTATGTATGATTGGAAACGCCGTATTTACGATATGCAGTCGACTACTGAGTTATACTGAATATTATTAATATTTATCTCTACTGTAAAGTAAAGCTAACAATTCATCAATTCTACGTTAATATGTTTACTCTTCTACACGCAATCAGAGACAGAGATAAAATGAAGATTATAGAGACAGATTATTTCTTATTAAAATTCAAACAATTTGATGAAACAAAAATAAAAAGACTTAAGTATCATGGGAAACTTCTGTTTCTAAGAGAATCATGTATTTCGTTCACGAATAACGAGCCAATTTCAAAAAGGAAGAGATTTCGGATCCACGTTGCTGGGACCTTCCTCCATTCCCAGGACAAACGTGCGCCCATTCGAGCGACTTCAACTACACCCTGTATATCAGAAAAATGCAAACTCGGAGGAACTATCAATGATCGATCTCAACCCCTATGTCTGTAACCAAAATGTCTCACAATGTTCAATAACCGGAGTTCCAGCATTTCAATCTTCCTACAATATACTACATACTATTACAAAGAATTCGAATAGAAAACAATCGGGAATGTAATTAAAACCATAAAAGATGTCGTTAGTACAAATGAATAACTAAATTCTCATCGAGTAATTTTTATACTCCGCTAGCTCTGCTACAATTCTAAGTAGAAGTCTACTCAGGCAAACCCAGTCATTGAACAGTCGTGTAAACAACTCCAAATGCTCCCTACCCAAAACGCGTTAGCCTTCAATTCCACGCGGGGAATTCAAACGAACGAAATCTTCAAAGAACACTACTTCAAGCTCTACGATACCCAATCCCCTAAACTAAAGCCCACAAAAACCTCTGAAACCGCAGATCGCTAGAGGATCGGCCGCGTACCCAGTTTACAGACATAAGGATTGACACGATCAAAGACAGCAAAATAACCACGCAGGGTAGATAGTGTCTATCCTCGACAAAGATTAAAAACCGGACCGATCACAGAATAGCAACCGATCTGCTGTCGGTCCGCGCGGTCTTACCCTACTAATCAAGAAGAGAAAGGTAGTAGAGACTGAAAGTCCTTGAAAAAATCGTGGTCCGATCCTTAGCCAAGTCTTTATCCGGACTCGCGCTACCCTGGCGTCCGTACGCACGTTTCTCCGATGTAAATTTCGTGTTCCGTGTGTGTATGAGCGATCGGTACTGGTAATTCTTGTAACTGTAGTAGCAATAGTAGCTGTTGCTGTTGTTGTTGTTCTTGTTCATGTCGATGAGTAATGCGTGTGGCAGAATGTGTAATGATCTCCCTGTCGCGTCTCTCCGTGGGTGGCTGTCGTCCGCTGGCTCAGTACGGGTTGTACTTGGTGCGCTCGGATTTGAATTTGCCGCTGTCGGTCGGTCCCGGTGCGCCGGGGCTACGTAACCTCGGCGTGAACTTGTGCGACCGGTGCACGCCGGTTGTCTGGACCGGGAGCGCGGATGCAGCCGCGCCAGCAGCACCACCTAGCAATTCCGTGAGTCCGCCGAGGGCGGTGAGGCTAGATAGGGCGTTGAGGGCGCCTGGCTTGCTTAGCAGCTGAGCCAAGGGAATGGCGCTGGCCAAGGGAGAGGCAGTGGTAGTGGTGGTAGAGGGAGAAGCACTGGCCCCGGATGCCCCGGGAGTGGTACCGCTGCCAGGGGTTTGGGTATTTTGGGCCTCTAGGTTAGCTTTCTGCAGTTCAACACTGGGGAAAAGACACAAAATGTAAA